AAAATGGACAAGCATATGTATATAGCATATAAATTTATATCCAAAGAAATCAACTAATTTGCATTTAACTGTGAGAAACTTAAAAGATTAAATGCCACTATAAATGAAATGGTAACATATTTTGATGATTCTTTATAAACTCTTCGTTAACTTGTGGTTTTAGGACTGGATGAAATTACCATTATTTTGTCTGTATTTATTTTCTTGTTTTATAGCTACATTTTTATGTCTGTTTACTTACACCCTTTCTTAATCCAACAATCCAACCCCAAGACTATTTGTTTCCTTATTTGAAAATACGTATATGCCATTAATGGTCTCATTTTTGTTTCTGATGTTGTTAAAGTTTTTATGTATATGTTCATTTGTAGAGCTTCATTTAATTTTTACCATGAATGTGATATTTTAAAAATCACAAAGGTAAGAATTAACACAGTAATAAATAATTTGCAAAAATGTTCAGAAACATGATAAAAAAATATTTAGCAATATTTAATGAGTCTTTTCAAAGATAAGTTTGTAATACTTTGAAATTATTCACATATGTTCTATACAAAAGAAATGAACATAAATTATCAGAAAGAAAAAGGTTATTTCATGTTTCTGAATAATTTAGCTCTCCGTTAATTAAATTAACTTTTTGCAGTTTTTAAATTAGGGTGTTAACAGCAGTTTGTTTTCCACGCTTCTTAAATTCACAGAGATTAAAAGATCTGGAAGGTTTCTATTATGCAAATTAATACTGTAAAACCCATCATTCTGAGACAAGGTGTATGTCTATCTGTCACTGTTCACTTTAGCGGGTTTCTGAAATTAGATATGAAATTGATAATTTCAATAAATCTGGTAACTTCCTTCATTTACTTACAGTAAATTCCATTAGGCAAATATTAATTTTTCTTGGTTCTATTCTGTGGTTTACTGTGCCATTCTGTTCAAACAAATTGTTAATTTATTATAGTTATATATTTATTATAGATGTCTTATTCTGCAACACTGATCACTTCGGGAAATAATTAAACATAATCATATTGGTGCAACATTGAAATTTTGACATTTTAAATACAAACGGGTATAAATTTAATTAATCCATCAATTTTAGTCCAATATCCCTGGTGAGGATAACAGTGGTCAACAGTTAATAAAACTAGATGTACTGTATATTGCATTTAAAAAAGATTTTATTTGGAAATATTTGCTTTAATTTTGTATTTTTCTAGTTGGAAATGTGTTTTAATGTGTTTTTCAGTCTGTTTCACTATGCCCATTGCAGTATTCGTTAGATAAGAACAGATCACTGAGAGCTGCTGCTCCCTGCGCACTTTCCTGCAGACGGTGAGACCTACCTGATGAGCAGGGTGCTGTTTCCCCATGATTAGACTGCCTCTATTGCCTTGAACGTTTATTTAGCTTTATGGATTTCAGCTATAAAACTGTTGAATTCATTTCTCAGATTTTTTGCCCCAGTAGCTGTAAAAAGCAGCTTAAAGCAGTGCTACTGCGCTTACAGTAAGTCACCTCTCAGCTTTTAATAAACAGGTATTTTAAAAACCAGATGGGAGGAATGTTGATGCAGTTAAATATTTGTAAACATAAGTTATTTAAACTAAGGCGCAACTTCAGTCCGATGATTAGTATCTTTTGTTAGCAACTTGTTGTATTTTGTTATGTAAATACAGTATTTACTTCATTTCAGGTAATTAAAAGCTTTATTGTCTCTTTGTGTTTTCTGTTAAATGGAGTATTCTTTTGTTGTGCATCACAAAAAAACAAAGACATTAGGAGCACATTTGTTTGCAAAGCAGTGGGATGTAGGTGTTGTAAGTTTGATCAAACTGTATTTGCATATTTTTTTCTGCAGGCAGTCAGGGTTTGTTCTGTTTTATATTGAATTAAAATCTTTGAGATGTTATGAGTTTTCCATGGAGATTCTGTAATCCCATCATTTGACAAGGTGGGTGGTATGTTTTTATTTTGCTTTTACAAGGACTTTTAAAAAATATTTCTGTTAAGAAGAGCATTTAATCTGTGCATATTATATATTGAACATAGATGTATATGTAAAAATGTAATGTTTCTATTTAACAAAAAATATATTCTATATATAGTATTTCACTTTAGCAGCTTCATATCTCATCTGAAGATTCAGAAATACAACATTCCTCTGTCCTGGTGGATCAGACAGACCTTTTGGGAGAGGGCTGTGATATGAGCTCAAATGTCTTGTAACTGATGTGGTTCTGTTCTCAGCATCCATGGTGCCCAATGCTCATGCACTGTATGCTAATCATGTAGAGCTCTGAGACAGGCAGATTGGGAGCGGTGATAGCATTCATCTGGTACAGTGCCAATTCCCTCAAAAAACAACACATATGATTTAAATATGACTGTAGAAAATATTTATAGACTATAGTGCTCTTGTGTCACACAGTCAGCCAGGAGGACTATGTCACAGGCAAAATTACAAGGGATATTCAGTGAATAAAGATGATTGTGAGCAGGCTTTCTTCATGCAGAGGAACACATTGATGTTTCGAAATGATCACGGTGAACAGGACTGGAGTCTGTGACAGATGCCCGGGAAGATTCTTCCATCTGAAGTGCTGCAGTGGAGCTGTTGTAGTATTATAGAGTATCAGTATGACACTATATATTTCTCTCACATTTGATTTTTATATATATACAGTATATTCATTTCGTATTTTGTTCATATTTACAAAGGTCTTACTCCATAATTTACTGAAATGTGAGATATTGCTAACTGGAAATCCGAAGCATGTTGTTATAATTATTGTTGTTGTTTGAAATAAGATAAGACTTTATTGATCCCGAAGGGAAATTGAGGCATTTCATTAATTACATTGAATTTTTTAATAAACACACAAGTTGAAAAATTGGATATCACACAAAAATTAAATATGCTAGAAATTACACAGTATGCTATTGATTTTTCATTTTAATAAAACCAAATTACTATAATTAAAGACAGTTACCAGTTAAGGTAGAAAAGTACAGTATGCTGTCTGTACTCTTATATTACTGAAGCTGAATGTTGTGAGGAAGGTAAAGAAATGGGTTTGAACAGCAGAGAGCATGTTGTTTGTGCCTCATTGCACTTTGTAATCAAGGACTGCTGAAGGCCAGTCTGTTTTAAGAGGAAAAAGCAACGACTCACAACAGTGTCAACCTTTGCTTTTTAGGCAGTGATGAAGTTATAAATAATGCATCAAGAGATTTCAGCATTCAGCTCATAAGGAAATCGCAGCTGGTCTGGGCTTTATTGTATAATGTGCAGATTTCAGCATGGAGGTCAAATGAAATGCTTGTCACTCAGTGAAAAAGGAAAAAAAACATTAAGTGAAGACATGAAGGGGGGGTCCATACTTGGTCTGTGCATTGAGCTGGATATATTCCTGAATGATCTCTCTTCTAAAATGTCTGTTAGATAGCCAGTGAGTGTGTCTTTCTGTGTGTCTTTTAAATGGCTTTTATGGAGAAAATGTGCAACTCTTGCTTTTTATTGATTTTGATCCCAGCATTTTGAGATTGCTGCTATTTTGTGGACATGTGGCTCATAACGGGCACTTCGTACATCGGGCCTCTCTTTGTGCTTGCTGGTCACGTTGAGGGCTGGAGTGGGAGCGAGGCAGAATTAGAGAGTGTGGAAATGCAAAGCTGTCTCTTGTTACGTTTTATCGATCTCATTCTGGTGTCATTCAATTAAGACAGAAATGTGATGGATAGTCTCTGTATAGATTCCAGGACTCTGGCTGCTGCAGATAACACCTGATTTTTTTTAAAAAAGCATCCAAACTAGTTTTGTGGTTTGAATGGAAAATTTAGTCACATTTACTTATGGAATATTTCTATTATTGTATTTGTGGAAAACACTGTGGTGTTACGTTGGATTATGTATAAAGGTATAATATTGCAAAATATAGCAGCAACTGTCTTTATAGCTGCTAGCACTGTATTCATATTCATTGTAAATATTGTCATGTAAATATTAGTTCAACAGCTATGATAGGTACAATATTTCAGGTTTCTTTTCACAATTGCATATATTGTTTTTTATACGTCTTTAAAAAAAATGCAGTATACAAAACACAAAAACATCTAATTATTGAAAAGATGAAAAAGTCCCCAAAACCATAACCTCTTCCAAGACGTAATTTGAATTCATCAAACCAATGTGAAAGAAAACAGTAGTAGTCAAATTATAGAGGGGGACTTAAAGATGAATGAAACACACTTTACAAGACAAATGAAAGGAATTGTTAATTCTAGGAGAATAATATACAGTAGATTGATTTCGGAGACAAAATCTGTAAGAACATATGATGATATAATAAAATATCAGACTGCACTGTACCTATTTTACATCACTACTGTAATTGCTAAATATATGATGATCTTATCACTTTATTGTTTCCAGGATACTTTGAGACAGGATGGGTACATTTTCTTTTAATTAATCATTATTTTTAACTCCTTGACAAAAATAGTTGAAAGAAGCCATTTATTTTTTCTTGTTTTTCAAAATAACTCACTAATTTGATCTTTCTCCTCTGATCACATCTGATGGGTGTACCTCATTGTCATGAGCTGCAATTAAACATCAGATTAGTCTTGGCAAATCTGTAATAATTTACATATTAATATCTTTCCCTATATTGGAAAATGTAAAGCTCCATCATATCTCAAAGTGTCCCATGGGTTATGAGGTAATAAGGTAATCCTATTCAGAGAGCTCATTTTCAAGTTCTGACATACATGTAAATGTCATTCATTCAACAGGATCTATCAATGATACTGTATATCTGGTTTCCTAAATCACAGACTTTAATTTTATTATTACTTTTTTACTGTTTATGTATCTTTATTTGGTAGCATTTGTGTTTGTACTCATTAGATTGATCATGAATGTACTGAGTTCATTTTCATGGTGTATATTAATTGCACATTATATATTAATACAGAATACAATTAGAAACATTAGATGTCATCTTATACTATGTTATTTATTCCGTTTCTGCATAATAAGAGTGCAACTACATTTTCAGTATCACGTAACCATACATTAGAAGTATAACTAATTCATTTCTTTGCAAGTAGAAAAAAAGGGGAACTCTGATTTTTTTTTGTTGTGGTTACCTGTGGGATTTTACAGTTTTCATCTTTAACCAGTTAAAGATAAGACAAGGATAGAACAGCTTCACTCTAGCAACAGACGGAGCAATTATACCCCAGGCTTCATGGCAGTTAAGTTGAAGAAAAATACACAAAGACCTTTGTGACACAAAAAGTGCAGGATGAATGGACTTGTAAAAAAGGTTAATACATTTCATAGATTACATATAAAATGTTAAATAATGTAATAATGCTTAAATAAAAAATACCTCTGTAGATACTTGTTGCTGTTTTACTGAACCAGTTTGTGGGAGGGCTGTTGTTTGGTTAACGTGGCATTGCGTTACCTGAAATCCTATTATGTGGAATGAAACACAACTGGATTTCACTTCTTTTGAGACAATGATAGTGAATATTGACTTGTGAAAGGCTGGATGGGGTATTATATACAGTAAAGCTGCTTAATTCTTTTTATTGTTTGTGATTGTTTATTTTTGTCATTTGCTTTTCTTGTAAAGTGTGGCATCGTTTATTCACCAGCATGCAGAATTGATATTCTGAATGTCATTAAGGTGTTGTGTGCCGCTATATGTTTTACTGCATTCATGTTTGTTTGCATGGCAGCAAGCTAAGCTGTATGCTTGTGTTGGCTTCCTCAGATCTCTGAAAACACAATTGGGTATCACTCGTCTGGGGTGGAACAATTCACAGGAAAGGCTTAGACATTGAGCTTGCACGGTCTCTGACTCCATTTTCAGCCTTTGTTCCCACCAGGGTGGCACTCTGCGTGTGGCGGCCAGGGCTCTGAGCATTCCTGTCTGCTGAAATCAAAGGCCCTGGTCTTTCTTATTCATGATGTCACCAGAACCCAAGATCGAACAGTCTCTGCTTCTTTGCTGCTCTTCTGAAGTTAAAAACACACATTCTGATCCTTAAAATGACACATGCTGTTGTACACATCTTCTCAGCCTTGCCTTATACCAACAGGCCTCTTTTTTAAAACCAGATTGAGTCACCATGCCCTTGTGCAAGACATTTTCCCAACTATAATTCATAACACTTGGGAAGAGTGAAAAAAAATCAGCATTGGTATGTTCAGTTCTTAATTTTGCTATTCCTTTTCTGTTCAGCACAAATGTTGATATACTTATCATGCTACATGTCCACTATTTATAGGCTTCAGTTTTTTGTATGTAGATTTAAATAGCTTAGATATATTTAGCTAAGCAGTTCTTTTATGTGGGACATTCATTATGTATTTAATTGTGTATGTATCAATGTTTAGATTTCTGAATATTTCCTTTTCTTTTAACAAAACCCATTTTCAGAACTCAAAAATAAAATTGAAAATTGCATTTATTTTTCATTTCTTTAAGTGTGATATTTTTAGTTTTTCACATTAAATGCTTATATTATCTTGATAAATGTTTTATATTAAGTTACTTTTTTGAAAGATTCATGTAAAATATGAATTTCTGATTTCTGATGTAGAAGAAAGATAAAGTATAAGATTTATCTTATAAGATAAGGGAAAAATCTTAAACTATACTGGATAATTTGTAATTATGTATCATTACCGTATTTTAGACATGAAAATACTATTTTCGTTATTCATGTATTTGGCAAATATACAGAACTTTTATCTGTGTCAAAACAGTTCCTAAATATGCTATTTTTAAAATAAAATAATGTGTTTAATATGATTATTAAAGCACTTAAAACATTTGCTAACAATTTTTTTCAATAAACAATAAGCATTTTCTTTTTTGCTTTGTAACACTAGCTATTAGCTATTAGCTATTGTGCAGACATAAATATAAAATATTGATTACATATACAACATTGAAATAAAGCATATAAGGAACATTTAATGTTGAAAATGAGTAAAATAATCATCAACAATGATTTTGTAATTAATTTCAAAATTTAAAAGTCATTTAATAGGATTACAGAAAAACACCCACAACATACAGAAAAAAAACTTTGTGATTGCAGATAATTATGTTTGTGCTTTTGAAATAATTGATTTTTTAAAATTAAAATATGAAAAATACAGTATAAGAATTAAAATGTGAAACAAGCTATACTAAGAAAGCTATTGTAAATGAAGATATTTGATATGCTGGTATATTAATTAGATGTGGTAAGGAAATTATGTCAAGAACATATATTTATTTATACTCTGAGCTCAGTAACAAATTATGTAAAGCTAAAACTGTTTTTCTTGATAAGAAATTAAATTGTTTCTTTCAATGTATTTGAAACCAGTCTTGTAGCATTTCAAGAAGTTTAATAACATATCCATGGTGTCTTCATAAATCTATCAGTTATAAAGAAAACACTTTGATGTATTTTTAGGCAACTACAAACTAAGGCTAAAACACTTTTTATACTCTAGTAATTTTCTCTATCTAAAACACTTTTATATGTATATAAACATGAATGAAAGTGTTTATTTTTTGTTTTTCTATTTAATTTTAACATTTTACTATCTTTGCAGATGTTTGTTTGTTATAAAAACAACTATATCTCTCAGGCTCACCTCCAATAATGGCAGTAGTAAATCATTTAATCTAGAAGTGTGCTTGAGATCCCAATCTCAGTACCATGCACATTTTCCTACATTTTACATTTTAATTCTTATCTCTCTAACCTTCCCTAAGAGGTATCCTTGCACATTATTTTCTCTCCTGTAACATTTTCATAAGTACCATAATGTTAATGGTGCACCATACACAAATTGTGTTAAATTCTTAATTAATCAAATATTTTTCTGTCCCGTTGGAGTCAAACAAGAATGTTTTTAGACTCATCTGACCAGAACTTTCACAGCAAAATTAATTCATACCTTTTGTAAACCTGGCTGGTAATGGGCTTCTGTTTATTTATTTAATTATGTTTCTTAGTGTTTTAATCTTTGTCAGTACAACACTCTCCACCCAGGTTCTCCACAGTGTCTGACCACTTAGTTTTCTCTGTCTTGGACCTCGGCTGGGTGCTGTGGCTGTGCTCTTTTCTTTCTCTCTGTTCACAAGCTGTACATAGATAATTCTGCAAGCACGCACAATGTGCTTGCACTTTTTTGCATATTTTAAAAAAATATATTTAAATATATTAATAACCAGCTTATTCTGCCTTGTGGTTCTCCATGGTTAATTATTTTGTAACTGCCTATTCTGTTTAAACATACGTTTGTTAAAAAAATATTTTACAGGAAAAGAGTTTTGTTTTATTTACAAAGTGCAAAAATATATACTAAATACAAATGTATTATTTTATTTGCAAATTAAAACTTCCTATTCAAATTAAGAAGATCAGAAACTTAGTGCTTCTTGGTTTGTTGCAGGAATTTCAAAGAAACCCACACATACGCAATCTCTACAGCAATTCCTGCATTTACACATTATATTTATGCTACATTGAACATTATGTTTTTATACTGCATTTATCCATTCATCCAGAATTTCCTAAAAAGCAAAAACCACAAACACACACACACACACATTGATGGTTTAAAGTGCAAAAGACAGAAAACAACCTGATATTTGTGATTTAGCACTAGAAAATTCCAACCTTTTCTTTCTTCATTCTTTTCCTACAAATCCCAAAAATAAGAGTTGGAGATCCGGTACCGAATTTGTAAAGCCATATCATTCTAATACGACAAAAACTGGGTCATCCTGTGTCCCTAAAGTCAGCTTGGAGTGATTCACCATCACTCAGGGCTAGATGAAAGGACCTCTCAATGTGAATTATGTTTCATGTGTCACAGTAACATTTACTCTTCTGTACCTCCCCCTCTGCCTATGGCTATTAAATGAAATAGTGATGCCTTGAAGTCTGTGAGATTGTGGATGTGGAATCTCAGTGCTGTTTACAGATATGTCAACAGATTCCACCAAGAAACATATTTTCAGACGTTCTTGTTTCTTATGTAAATGGCCATATCAGTGTTTTAAAGAGGTAATAGTAGTCACATTAGGACTGAACAGGTGGAAATTACAAGATGGAAATTATTTTATTTAAATGCAGCATATTAAAATTGTTATCTCTAATAACAATTGTAATCTACAAAAAATCACATAACTAAAACTGAATGTTTTTGCCATTTATTAATTTACTTACACTATTGCTTGGACTAGCTTTCATTGTAATATTATTTCCTTTTTATTACAACCATACATATTACCATATGTAATATGGTGTTTATACATAGAATAACAGATTGTCTTTGTGCAATTTTCATCAATGTCAAACTTAAATATATTTTATTACATATATCACCCACCTGCAGCCAGTCTGTCCTAGAAAAATTGTGAATTGTAATTAATTATGAAACACATATACCCTCCACGATACAGCTCATGATTTTAAATATGTTTACTTCAAAGTTATTAAGTTTAAAATGCCTATCATTCTGTGTCCTTTTTAAAGACAGATAAAAGAAAGTACCGTATTAATGGAATAATAAAAAGGAATGTGTTCTGTAGGAAAGGTATTTATACATTAATTTAGATTTCCATTTGCATTGCATTTCCTTTTAAATATCACATAAATAGAATTAATCCATGATATTTCAAAACATTTCCATCAAATTACAATTCCATCTACTGCGAATTAACTTTATAATTTGCCGAAACCCATGTTAAAATGTGTTAGTTGCAATTAATATTCCTTTTAAAAAAGTATTGTAATAATCTGACAATTTCATGTTAGAAAACTTTTCACTGTCAGTTTTCATCTTTAGGCAGAAAATGTGAGAACACAGTTAAAGCCCATTTGGAAGGAAAATCTGATGTTGAATTGTCTTGTCAGTTTATAAAGAATTTGTGTTTGGATTCATTTTTTGACTCCTGTTTGATGAGTTTAAAATAAAAGCAAAAAAGGTTGAAAAGGTTATGATAAGAAAAGTAATAGATGGAAATACAATAAGACTTACAAAATGATACAGAGAGAGGAGAGACGCTCGGCCCACAACACAGGTTTGAACAGAAAAGTGCTTGCTAAGCTATCTGTTTCACACATGCACCGACAGAAGGTTCGATATTTATTCGATCGATGAGTGAAAAGGCACAATGGCAAAATCGGACGGACTTCTTTTCAAATACAGATCTCCAATGTCCCCCGCAGTCTGCAGTCGCACGGCAGGTGGTGTGGTGCTCAAGGAGCAAGGGTTACATCAAGGCTGCTCCGCGGACCATGCAAACAAGTCTAGACCGGTGACCTGCTGAATTGCTCCCTTTGAAGACAAGGCAAGTTCGGTCACGATGAAGAAAAATCAAGGCGTACCCTCTTTACAATAGGGAGCCCATGGCCGCTGGGAGGTAAGCAGGACAGGACAGAAAGAGCAGGCATCTGCTTCCATGGTTACAGGCCGAGTATGAGGACCCTGCTATTCAAGAGGCTCTGTTCTCATGCTCTCACTGTGGCAATGTCATGCATTTTGAGCAAAGGCAGTCTGAGACGATATCAGCAGCAGCAGACTAGTTCTTTGAGAGTGAAATGAAACGTGAGCACATAGCAGTTTGGAAAAAAGAGAGAGAGAGTCACATGACCACAGTGAAAACAAGTTCAGCTATTTCAGAATAAGGTATTTTTATATGAGACATGAACGACATAAAGGAATTTCTTTTCTTCCTTCTTTTGAGTTTTTACGAGTGTTCCACGGATTTCTATGATTGTTATTTTCCTTAAAAAACTGGACTGTTTTGATTTTAAGAGGTCAAGGGTCAAGGTTTATGTGGTAGAAACACTATTGTTAAAATGTGCAATTTAGAGAATGTCTTTTTTGTTTAAATTCAGCCTTGCTTTTAACTTCCAATTCTTATTATAAGTTTGACAGAGCATGAAATTAATAAGCTTCTACACACCTAACCTGTTTGTTCTCTTTTTCATTTTAGAATTTCCCTGCATAATGTGCAGGTATTCAGTCTTAGTTACAGGGTAGATGACAAATCATGGTTAGCTTTTCACATTTAACTATACGAGAAGATGGTCTAATTTTCTAGTTTTACTTGATGACAAATATTAGAATTTGAACATCTGCTTGCTTTGCATCACTGCTCAGGATCGTATTCAAGCAGTATTAACTTACCCGTGCTTTACTGTGAAAAATACCACATTAAGACAAATAGAGGAATCATGTCTCATATGAGTGTTTCTTTTTTGTTTTGAGGTGATTTTTTTTCTTTATTTGAATCATGCTTTGTAAATAGGAAACAAGTAAAGTACTGTATGTGTCTTACTTTAAGAACAAAAGGTATTCAAAATGGTCAGTTGTAAAAATCATTTAAAACATACATTTTATTTAAAGAATATTAGTATGGTGCTGCGACTGACCCCAGCCCCCTCGTATCCTAAAGAAAGAAAGCAGATCGCTCCCTATAGGAAGGAGCTGGAGCAGTACATGTGTTTGTGGATCGTGGGAAAATCTTCGTCTCGTTCTTTTGCTTTCTGCTCTGCTTATTTAAAGAGCAAAGGCTGAAACAGGATTTAGTGAAAATGAAAGCATTTTGAAAAAAACACAGAAAAGGGAGATTGAGGCTGCACTAGTGAATACCTGTGTGTGCAACTTGTAGTTTATGAATTCTTGTGTGGATAAATTGAACAAAACTGAACATCGCTTGGAAGTGGAAAAACCCTACATAAGTGTGGTCAGTGGATAGAGAATACTTGAATCATCTTTATAAGTAGGAAAAACTAGATTTGAAAGATTTATAAGACCTTGAACTTCAATTTTTGTATGCTAGATATTGGATATTAATGATTTTAAAAAGCTGGTTTATGCTTCTGTTTATTCTTCCGAAACAATTAAGGTATACAACCACAGGTTTGTGAAAAGTACAACTTATTCTATTTTATAAATGTTTTTTTTGCAATATTCAGTGGAACATTGAATTATGTATTCCTAAGTATTAGTATTCACATTTGTGTCTTACATTTATGTCTTATATTTAGAATGAGATTGGTGATCTTACAGGTATCTTACACTATGCGATTCTTGTTTTTCCAACACATTCATATTAAATTTATTTTAAAAAACTGAACATAGAACTGTAAAAACTACAGCTCTTCTTTTTCTTTAAAAGGATAGAAGACACTGCGCATACGAATGCCAAATTTCATTATCAGATTTTCAAAATACTTAGTTGATAATGGTCTTAGTATGTTAAAACTGCCAAATATAAATAAAAAATGCAGAGAATTAAAAATAGATAACCTTAACCAGATGACTGCAGCTGTGAGTTGTTACAGGAAATCCAGTCTGGTGAGTGTGAGATTGATACAATGTCTTCAGTTTTCTATAAGTGATTGTAATTTGGGGTCATTTGGTATATTTTAGCTGCAAATAAGGACAAGAAATAAACCTGGACGTTTTCCTTGTATTTATTTTTATCGAAGAGAGAACCTTTTATTTTACCGTGTATAGATGCACAGGTTAAATATTTTAATTTTTTGTTATTTTGTATGGAACTTGCTGTTAATACTGTTACTATTGTGGATTTTTAACACTTGAGTCTTAGTAATGGTTTCAACTAGGAGAGCATTACTGGCAGTGCTCTGCCGGCAACGGAGAGCTAACAGCAACAAGACGGCATTGCTCTTTTCTCAAAGTGGGAGCAGGCAGTATATTCATATCTAATTGTTCTTCATTTTTGTCTTTAGGTTGAATAGATAATAGATTGGAAATGTTGATTTAACAATTAATAACTCTTTTATAGTAATTTTATTAACTTCCAAATAAAATGAAAAATGATTATGGTACACATCTTGCTCTTAGTGTTTATTGTATAGTATGGTGGTAGCTGTGACATATTTTTCTGCTTGAAGTATCAATGTTTCCTGTTCAAGATTAAAACACTGAATCACTAGAGTGGTTAAAGGTGGGGAAGATAAAGAATTGAGTGACATGTTTGAGAGGTAGTACTGCACTTTTGTCATTTATTCATCACAATCCGAATGACTTTTAAGGGAAACTCAATTTCAGTTTTAAGCACATACAGTATATGTTGATTTTAATCTAACTGAGATTCCATTTACAGGACGGATCATATTTTTTCTTTGAAGTGAGATGAAGGAAAAGAAAAACTGTACTGTACTTAATCATTTTGTTAAAGACTAACTTGTATAAAGCATTAAATGTTCTACATAAATTGTTCAGGTCCTTAGGAAAAGTTCTGAATAGGCTGGTTAGGTCAAGGTCAGGTGAAGGTTAAAAGTTACACAGTGCAAATTTTGAAAATGCATACTGTGGTGTCCTTTTAAATGTACTGTAACTGACCTAATACCAGCAGATATATTCACATAGGCAATTCTGTAAATAAGATGTATGAAAATTACAAGAAGACCACCTTTTTGATTTTCATTGGTATTAAACAAACATTTTCGGTAATCTTCGATTTGCTGGATTTATCCAATGGCAGCATATGGAATAGATTCCATATGCTCTAGTGGTAATAGTTGTCCATCGTTTTTATGGACAAGGGTATATCAGATGTAAAACCTTACATACAGTATCTTTAAAAAGTTAGCTTTACAGTGGCAGCTCTAACTAATTTCCTGCTACCTGACTGCTCATTTAGAAGGGCTACCCCATCTGGGCAGTTTTTGGGTGGTATGATGACCAAGAACATTTACATTTTCTTGTGAGCCTCGCCTGGTTTGTACTTCTCCACTACTATCTGTGGCTTATTTCTCAGTCTTCATGGTTCATTTTGTCATACATTATCACTATGAGTTATGGCTTACATTTATTATGCAACTGAGGGAACGTACAGAGGGAGATGCTCACATTTATGCTGAACTCAAGTTAAACCAGTTGAATTACAGAGACAGTTACACCAAAAATCTTTTGTCTTCCAAATTAATCTTTTGCACCTGAACTGATTTAGTTTAAATTTTCTCTGAAATCTAGTTTATGCATATACTGTTGATATTTTTAGTTTTATCAGTTTGGATTAGATTGTGTAGAGCTCAAATATTTAGGTCCTAATATGCACCATCATTGCAAACACTGATGGGAACAGAATGCAATAACTTTACAGAGGAGAAAATACTTTTGCATGGCTATATATCCCATATCAAAATAGCCCTTGATTACTGAAAATAAATTGCCATTTAAAGTTTTGTAAATTACTACACAAGTAACATGATGAGAGTGTCTCATTCACGTGTTTATGTCTTGTTAATGATTAGAAGAGACGCTCATTAGATGAGCAAACCTGAAATTCTGTTATTTTACTTTACCTGACCTTAATGCCCAAAAGGAAGCACTTTGACATGAATTTCTAACTTATTTTGTAAACGTTGTGATTACAACTTCTTGAATAACAGTTCCCATAAGCTCCAGCAATAAAACATGTTGTCTTTAGTAAAGTAATCATGCAGAATTTGCCTTTTTCAGCTGATTTTTTTATAGTCATTATAGTCACCTCTGCAGGAAATTGCTCTGGCCTGAGTTTACATGCTTTTAAGTTAGCTATTGTTCCCATGTGTACTGGAGCAAAACCACTCTCCTTTGATCTCAAGGAAGCTGTAAGGCTAAAACACAACATTTCAGATGTTCTTGCTTCATCGACTAAATTGACCATTACACAAATGACTATGCTGAACCGACAGATTGATGCATTTCTGCTGTGGACACCCACACACTCTGATATTCTTAATATTTTCCATGCAATAATTCATCCTTTCTTATTTGTGTTTACTGAGTTACTTCTGTATGTTGAATTCATCTTCATCATACAAACTAGTTGAAATACTGAAGCTAAGCAGGTGTGAGCCTGGTCAGTACCTGGATGGAGACCTCCCGGGTCCTAATGCCCCAGTATAGTGATGGGGACACTATACTGTAAAAAGGTGCTGTCCTTCAGAAGAGACATAAAACCAAGGTCCTGACTCTCTGTGGCCATTAAAAATCCCAGGATGTTTTTAGAAAAGAGTAGGAGTGTAACCCTGGCATCCTGGCCAAATTTCCCATTGGCCTTTAACAATCATGGCCTCCTAATAATCCCCATCTCTGAATTGGCTTCATTACTCTGCTCTCCTCCCCACCGATAGCTGATGTGTGGTAAGTGTTCTGGCGTACTCTGGCTGCCATCGCATCATCCAGGTGGGGCTGCACATTGGTGGTGGTGGAGGAGAGTCCCCATTACCTGTTAAGCGCTTTGAGTGGAGTGTCAAGAAAAACCCTACATAAGTGTAAGCAATTATTATTATTACTAAGTCATTTATCATGGAGGCTGGGTTAATAAGCGTCACCGCCCTTCCCTGTGAATAGTAGGGACCGTAGCCCCTGGGCTGACGGGCGATTTCTCTTTGGCTATAGAGGCTGGGTCCCTGGTGAGTGATGCCAGAGGCCCAGGTTCGAGTCCCCGATGGTGGGGAGCCTACCTGATGCGTCAGCGGTGAACCCTGAAGTGTTACAATATGCAGCTTAAAAAATATATTTTATTATTTTTCTAAATTTT